ATTCTTAGATTGAGTTGTACTTGTAATGCTGCATACGCAAGATATCCCTAATTTTCAGCAAATTAGCAAATATTTTTGCTTTATAATTGGATTTAAGGTTAAAATAACTTTTTAAATGAGAATTTAATAGTATGGTTCCTCTGAGGAAGCTGCAGGGACCATGAAAATTGTTATGAAAAAGTTCTAAAGAGAAGGTTTGGCATACCACAACAAAATTTTACTTTATTCTGTAAATGAAATACAGTCTGATGATGTTCTGTAGTTTGAATTCACCTGCGTGACATGCATCATCTTTCTTCACTGATCTGAACAGGGAAGGACAAGATTTATGATTTAACTCGAATGCTTCAGGGTGAAAAAGCCTCTTGACTTCAAGCATGAAAAGGAAAGCGGGAGATTGTAGTTTGCTCAAATCAAGTTTTCCAATTCCAATGCTGATTTCCATGCTGTGAACATTTTGAATCTTCTTCAGACTTTCTTGGGCATTCTGCTTCTCATGCTATGCTTCTATTTCCTTGTACAGTCAAACACCGATAAGACGCCACCATTTTTCCAGAGAAATTTTTGTGGTTTAAAGAGGTTGGCAGTTTATTGAATATTGAATTTCAATTATTTGATCAAAAATACTCAATTTTCCTCCAAAAGTCATGGAGATACAGGTTATGTAAGAGACTTCAGTAATTTTCCAAAGAGTAATGCTGTGACCAATGGATTACTCTTTGAGAAAATAAATTTTGTTGCATCAATTTATTCAAATTTTATGATTAGGTCAATGTAATTTTCAACAAAATGATCATTAATACTATTTTTCTAACAAATACAAGATCCTTGGCAGAAATTATAATTTGACCCCAATGTTGGCATTGTAACAAAGACAAAACTAATTGGAAACAGCACTTTTGTTTCATCACTAATGCTGGCAGATGGCGGTTGGCGTCTTATTAAGGTTTTCTACAGAATTTAACATGCAGGAGATTTGTTTCATTCAAAATTTTGGCGGTTGGGAAGGGTGGCGTTTTATCAGGGGGCGTCTTAACAGGGTTTGACTGTATCAGTTTTCCGCGAACATGGGAAATTAGTAGTGATTACTGTACTTGACGGAATTGAGATTTATTGAATTCACAATTTTGCCCAGCATTGCACTCATTCATCATACCAGTTCGCCAATGTCAATTTTTTTTTGCTTGACAGGTTGGTTTTTTTTTCAACGATAAAGTGATATGTGTTCTACAATGATTGAAGTTTGATTGGCATTCGGTCTGAAACTTCGCCGTTGCTCTGTTTAATGCAAGGGTTTGTGAAGAAGCAAATTAAATGATGATCGAAAATTTCTGGTGACTTGACAAAAATTTTTCCCTGGCTGTCCGTCGGCATGAACTTTTAGGTGAAACAACTATTCATTTCGCTCACCTCCCGGTGAATTTGTCTAACATTAATTCCGCATCATGTAGTTACTACTTACTTTGATGGATACCCCTTTGATGATACCTTACCCGTCCCTGCTATGCCATACTTAGCCAACTCGTGTGGAATGGGTAATCTCACCCTGTTCTCACCCTTTTCGGTTCAAGACTGACGCAGGGAATTTGCGGTAAGTTGTGTTTTGATGTGCAGTATTTCTGGGAATCCTTGGGACTATCGTGAGCTTTTGGTAAAAGCTTCTTTCGGAATGTTTGAATATTTTAATTCGAAAGAGTTTTTGAGCTGCACTGCGTATTGCGATTTCGAGCTTCTTCAACTTTGCTGTGGGAGTTACACCAGAAATGGAACCTTTTTCCTGGATCGTTTTTGAAATTTCTGGAAATCTGAAATACAATATTATTCGATTCCGAACATACCCTCGTTGTACCTTCAAATGCGCTTCATTTTTATTTTTCTTATGGGATGTAGCTTATTATAATTATTGAATGTCATTTCATTGAGTTCTCAGTGTTTACATGTTCGAAGTACAAGGGTTGGTCCATAAAAGATGATAAAAGGCCACTTGCCATCATTGGAGGCAGATGCAATTTTTCTTTTGCTCTTCAATTCTTCATTGGAGTCTAATAAATGTTTCGTTGACTACAGAAGGAAACAAGAAAAAGACCTGGATCACAGTGAATGCCGTCCACTGAAGGGAAGTTCACCACATAACCTCAAAGTCATAGAGCATGCAAGTGTGCACTCAGCTGCTCTTGACCAATTGAACTTCACTTCAGTGGAGGGGAATTAATGCGATCCAGGTCTTTTTCTGGTTTCCTTCCATAGCTTTGTGATTGATGGAAAATTCATCAGACACCAATGAAGAATTGAAGAGGAAAAGAAAAAAATGCATCCACCCCCAATGAGGGCAAGTGGCTCTGTGGCAGTTTATCATCTTTTACAAACCAACCCATTTATTCTTTCTAATGCAGGTGGACTCTCAATGCAATCCAAGTGCCAAGAAGAATACTGATACCTCTGTACAGTACATAGAAATATTGGTTGTAAAAATAATATTCAAGTGAAAAAGAGAGAAGGAAGTCCCTCTCTGCTGGAGGCAATTTTAAAATTAGCTAAATGAAGGGTAAATTGTGCCCAAGAACTTTTCTTACTACAGGATCAATTTTATGGTTGGAAATATCTGTTACTTGTAATTTGGCCTGGAATGTATTTGCAATTTTATAACAAAATGTCCCTATGTTGAGTCAGTGTCCTCATGTTTGGCTTTTTTATTAATTTTTTATGAGAAAATAAGTGTCCCTATGTCAAATTGTCTGCAGGTTGAGGTGTCTGCATGTGGGGGTCTCACTGTATATGAACTTCTCAACTTCTCATGTGCATACTGATACGGACGGAGCACCCTTAGATATTTTGAATTAACGTTCACCCTTGAAGATGCGAATCTTGATTGATTTATTTATTTTTTAAAAGGATCACTTACCTGTAATATGTAGCGGATGATTTGTCTAATTGTTGGGCCTGATGAATGAAAAGGGTTCGCTTTGTAATGACTGCAATTGGCAAAATGGGACTGGAAACTTTCCTGTTCGCATTTTGCACTTTGAAAAATCTCGCTCTTGCTGAGTTGTTGGTATGAATCCTGCGAAAATTTTAATTTACTTTTTGGGGTAACCAGTGTTCAAGCTGTAGAATATCCTGATGGGTGATTTAAAATTGTCTCTTTGAAATTGAAGAAGTTTGTTCCATAATTTTTTGATTTCAGTTGGTTGTTGATGTGACCAACAAGTGCGTTGAGATTCTGAATGCTGACGCAATTTTATGATTATTCGATTGATAAGTCTGATAAAAACTTATCGAATCAGGAGGAAAAACGAAGTCATGAGTGACTACTGTACTTTACATCCAACAGTGCGGAGACAGAGTGGCTCGTTGAATTGTAGGTGTCACTGCTAGTTCGTGTCCTGCAAAAGTGGCTGGCGTTGTAATACTGCTTCCGCTAGCAAAAATCAATTGTTCTACCCATTGAACTGTTTCTTTTCACATTGCTGAATTGAGAAATTACTCTGAAGATCTATAATAATAAGGTTTCAACTCAGTCAAGATATTACTAAGCGTGCGAGAGGACGTGTACAGGCTTTTGATTTTGCGTGCCTTGGTTTGATAATGTTTGCTTGTTTCATTCCAGTACAAAGAGACATTAAAAACTCAATTTTTAGCTATACTGTATCTCAAAAATTTAAGACCAGACCAAGATCTGTTACGCATCCCACTTTTCAAAATCAAGCTGATCGATGATAACTTGATTTCAATTTAGCCTCTTTTTCCTTCGGAAATTTGTGGATGAAAAGACAAAATTATGAGCATGACAGCTGACATTGAAAATCATTTCAGCTCTTGAAAACGATGCTTAATGTATTTTTCTTGTTCCATGCAACAAATTTTCCTGGGAATAAGTCGAAAACGTTTTGAACTAATTGAAGGTTAGGAATTTTCGCTACTTCTAAGAATGATTTTTTTCGGCAGAATCAATAAACATTGCCTCAATCAAAGTATGAGAATTGTTCATCTGTGTCAATGGCTAGGGCGTGCACTTCTTGGAATGTTCCCCGTTGCAGTACAGTAGCGAAGTGGTGTAAAACAACGTGTAGATGCTGCGATAAGGTACAGTATAGGAGGGTTTTCCCAGTTCTGATTGACCTTGGGTATTTCTAGAATAGGTGTAACTTTGAAAAAAAAAATAGCCAGTGTTATTTTAGGGTTTTGGGATTTTTCTTGGATTTTTATACGAATTTTTATATTTTCTGCATGATGGTAAGTGGAAACTTTCCGATTCTGGCAAGAGTTCTCCACTCAAGTCACAAGCTGTCAAAACTTTTTCAGGCCAGATAAAAATTTGAAAATGTTTTGTTGTTTTCAGCACAAAATTTTCTAGATTTTGTGTGATTTTCAAATTTTTTCAATGAATTCTTTGTTAGCAAAAAATGAAAATTTAAGTTCATTTTGTATTTTTCCTAAAGCAAGAGTTTGTTTCCAATAGGGTTATTTTAAATTTCCTCTTGAAAAACATAGCCCAAGGCCTAGTTTCTGCCTGTGATATTCGTCGTACTACCTCAATTTTTATGAAACTTCAGTCATTTGTTTTGCTTATCATCTGCCTCAAGGTCAGGAATGAGGGTGAGGAGACGTCTGCCCGAGGCAGGTTCGATCTCTTCCATGTTGGTTGCTGGATTGCAAAGGGTCCTTGTCTGATTTCGAATGACTGTTGTGTCGTTTTTGTAAATATTTTTTTTCTTCAAAATCCAGGAGAAGATGGCTTCAGTTCTAAATCCTGAATCATTGCTTACTCAGAAGTTCTTGTGTGAAAATTTCAATAGCTCTGATGCATTTCCATTTTCTGTTTGTTCTTCTTCTTGAGAATAATGGTGAGAGGAAAAAATCTATTTTATTAATTTGTAACCTGCTTTTCGTTTCATATTTCGAATAATGACGTCTTGGACTCGTATTCTAAATGTAACCTCGCTGGGTGATCAATTTGACTTATTCGTATTTGTGATAATGTCGGCATTAATAATCAATCGATGACGGCAACCCTGGAAATCACATGCTGTGTCAATTTGAAGGATTTCTCAATGAAAGCTTCGTTGCACCGACAAATCAACGTGATGGGCGCCGCATCTGTGAGTGAAGAGCAGACAGCTGCCAGGGTGACTTTTGCAAAAAATGTTCAAAAAAATGTGCAGATCCGAGCACCCTTTTTTTTTTTTTCGAAGAAGGTTTTTTTTTCTCTGAACGCTAATTGTTTTTTTTTTCCAGCTCAGTCATGTGCCGGAAATATTTCTGTTCCGAGAGTATTTGTCGGACTCCTGTATATTTTCTGGCATTTTGGGATGTGAGTCAGAGTGCCTCTTGAATTTGACAGCTAGCTTTTTGTTTGTTTGCTTGATGAGACGAAGGAATTGAAACCCGTCTTGAACTTCATGCGTGTGCAACTTTTTAGTGACTTATTCGCCGAATTATCGAAAGCCGTGAATCCCATGCAGTTCATGGAACAGGGTTAGATCGTCGTCATGCGTGTGTATTCGAGTGCTCTCGTTACGCGGTGTTCTGTACAGCGCTGTGGTTGCTCGAGTATTTATGATTCGGGGTAGATGTGATGTGATGTGAAGTGTTGATGGTGTCGATTTTGTGTCTCCGCAGTTGGATAATTCGGGCCAGAAATGGTTCCGGCGTGATAGGAGTATATTTTGTACGAGAAACAATTGTGAAACGCGCGCATCTACTCCCTCTCTCGCGTGCCCCGAACCCGCGAGCTCTTGTGAACTTTTGGCGGGCGTAGAAAGAAACCGAAATCTGCTTCAGCCCCTCCCCGGGAAACGGAGAGGATTCAGCCGGGTACGAAATGTGCATCCCGGGTCTGCACGATGATGACACCGAGACCGTTGAGGAGACGATGCCGGTCGCGAAGCGGAAGGAAAAGCGGAGGTGAGCTGGGGCCCCTTTTTTTTCTTTTTTCTTTTGCAGAAGAAAAAAAAAAAGACTTGGCCGTTTTGGCTCTCGGTGGCGAAAGAGTGGAAAAGGGAAGGGGCTCGTTGTTGTCATCATTTATGCGTGGACGTGCGTGTTTGTCGGGCTTTTGCAGAAATACGGAGAAACGGAAAGAACGGAGTCGAGATGCAGCTCGTTCCCGACGGAGCAAGGAGGCCGAGTACTTCTCGGACTTGGCCTCGCTCTTGCCGTATCCCGAGAGTCTCGTGGCGCACTTGGACAAGGCCTCGATTATGCGCTTGTCCATCACTTACCTGAAGCTCAAGTCGTTTGTGGACTGCGCCTTGCCCGAGTCCGGCACGCCGTCGATTAGTGACTCCCCGTGGAGCTCGCCGTTGCGACTCGGCGTCGAGAACTTCGCTCTCTGTGATACCGGACCCGACCACGTTTCCGGGCTGGTCAGCCTCCTGTTCATCGTGTCGTCGGACGGGGAGATCATCTACGTGTCGGAAAATGTGTCTGACCAACTCGGCCTCCTGCAAGTGAGTACGATTACAATGCAATAAATGCCCTCCCCAACCCCTCTTTAAAAAAAAAAAATCCTGATTTCCTCCGAACCTGACGCAGACTTGTTATACTCGGGAATCTCAATGCACGACGAAGCGTTTGGGTCTTTGAAAAACTTCGTTGCAAACAAACATTCGTTGAAACGAAATTAGCATAACATTGTGGTTATTGGGCAGTGACCAAAAAAAAAGAAGTGGTTGTGACCATTGAGATTTTACTGGAGTTGTAAACCATTCAGTGGGGCCCCGAGTTGCGGACAATATTGGTTATTGAACCTTGTCCGCATTTTGGATCACAATTTCCGGTAGACTTCAATGGGAAAATTTTTTTTCTTACAGTTACACCTCTCTTAAGTCAAATTTCAAGGTACCAGCGACCAAAAAATCGTGTTGGGGGAGCAAACATTTTTTTTTGGGGGGAAGAGACAAAGGAAATTTTCAAGAAATAGTAATTGGTGATGTTCTGCGCCTGGAATTTTTCATGAATGATTTGACAGGATGCTGAGAACAAGGGTTCATATGCCCGAAGAGTCTTTCAACTTCCTTTCAGAATTCATCCTTACATGTGCTGTATATTGCTTTTCTCTTTCTTGTGTCAAAATAATAGCCGGAAGGCCTCCAGAAAATTCGAAAGCCTTTCGTCAAGGGTAGCTTTTAATGCTCATGTTTTCAAGTTGATTCAGACGGGTATTCGAAAAATCGAAGTAGGGAGGTATTCCAGTTATCGAGGTTAAACGATATACAGTATCTATTTTTTGGAAAAACTGTGAAAAATTCTTCCGAAAATTTTGAAAAAAAAACGTTTTTCTTACCTTTAAAATTCAGACAAGAACTGTGCAACTGAGGATCTGCCTTTTGGCATGAAAATGAGTCCAGAAAAAACCACGTGTTGCAACACGGCCAAAAGTTAATGGAAAGAACCGTAAAAAGAAAAAAAAACAGAAAATCAGTCTGTTTTTATTATGAATTGGATTTCATTTATAATGATTCCATATATTTTTTGCATTTTAGTTCGTAAAACTGGCTGAATGTGTTCGAGAGATATCAACATTTTGAAAAGTGGAATGTTTTTAATTTTTTAGAAATCCCGGCGAAGTGTCCGTATCGCCAGACATCGTCTGAATGTACCGTGTGTGTGTACATTATTTTTTGAGTTTCAAGTGTCCAAAAAGTTGAATGGTCCGAATGTCGGGTGTCCCATTTCGCCACGTACTGTACCGTCTTCCACTCCCCGTTTACTTGCCGAACACTCCATGAACGAGGAATCGCTTGTGATCGAAGTTGAACCCTTGCAAAGTTGTAAATCTTCACCACAACGTCTTGCGAAGTTTCTCACGGCTCGAACTGAACAGTGTCATTTCCGTACGAGTTTGAATGGACTGGAGTGCTGTACACTCGTAAAGTATCTACAGTACTTCTGATCCCGTCGTGGTAGTCCGTTATGATGCGGTACTTACCCGTATTTACTCGAGTACCCCGCGAACTTTTTTTCTCAAAGTTGAAAGCAGAAAACGGGGTTCGCGTCGTAGGGCGGGTAATACATTTTTTAAGGTTTGAAAGTAGGTGTGGATTGTATTACCGTAGATTCTAATGGGAAATATTGGACCAATTTCAGCAGAAAAACTGTTTGCAATGGAAATTACTGATACTTAGTTGAATTCAGGATCAAATCATGTCCAAATTTCAATCTGGGTGCTCTTTTTTTTAATACTGTATTGCAGTTTCAAATAGGGAGGGTATACATTTTTCAAGGTTTGAAAGTAGGTGTGGATTATATTAGATTCCAATGGGATATTTTGGAACAATTTCAGCAGAAAAACTGTTTGCAATGGAAATAATTTAAAATTAGTTGAATTCAGGATCAAGTCATGTCCAAATTTCAATCTGGGTGTTCTTTTTTGTTGTAATATTGCAGTTTCGAAAGCACAAAAAATGGGGTGCGCGTCTTACTCGGGGTATACAGTTTTATGAAAAGGTTCAACTGAAAACCCCTGGTGCGCATCTTACTTGATGGCATGTGGGTACTTGATTAAATACGGTACTTTTTACAAGCAATCCTTATGTTTTTGATTGATCGGAGGGCATCCGTCGCAGCAATGGGTGTGTTCATAAAGTACTGTATACAGGTTGACTATTTCTAAAACGAGTTTGTCTTTAATGATTTTTTCTTCATAACGATTCTTTTGGTACCATATGGGTAACCAACCCGTAGAGGTTCTCGACAACGAAATTCTCTTTACATATACAGTAATTTTTTGTGGTCCCCCTTGAGTCTTGGAATCGATTTCACTTTATTTTTGTTGCCAGCGGAGGTACTCGAGTATATGTACTGATCTCTTAGTGATATGTATTTAATTTTATGTCTGGATTCAAGACACAGTATAGATTTGAAAATGAGGGTCATTACGCATTCCAATTTATCCGTTTTGAACTCGATTTACTTGTTTATATACAGGTATACCTTACAGTTCCCAAGTTTCTGTCCCAAGTTCCACGTGTAGGTACTGTACTGTACTACCGTAATCAAGGTTTTTTTTTGGTGTAGACGTAGTGTTCTTGGCAGGAAGTTTCAGGAGCGTTGTTGTTGAATCAGAAGTTTCGCTGCCGTTCCAAAATGCATGTACTATTGTGGTATCGAATTTGCGAGGAAATTAGGTTTATGACGCATTTCGATTCCTCCATTTGGAACTGGACTACCTTATTTGCGAATCTCGAAGTTTTGAAATGTCTCTCAAAATTTCACATAGAGGAACGGCCAAGGTTCGATCAAGGTTGCTTTGTTACGTGGACGTTATGTTCTTGTTGATGTGACGAAGTTTCTTCAGGGTTTTTTTTTTTTTTGCTTTGAAGGTCCTCTGATGTCCCCGAATGTATAAAACATTGTTTCACCGATTCGGGGAGGAAATTATGTTTATGACGCATTTGGATTTCTCTGTGCCTTATTTATGCATTTTGAAGTTTCTGTTGAGGAATTAATTGACCCAACATAAAGAAGTGAACCATAGCGCAGTTGAATAAAAGGTGGGAAATAATAAGGCAGGGCAATCAGCCAGTTTGCGGCCGGGAATATGTAATTAAGGGGGTACCTTAATTTCACATCCCTAGTTTTGTCTGGTTTAATCACAGTCCACAATAAATCACAATCAAACACATTATAATAAATAATGCATCACAATAAGTGCAGTAATGCAAAACACATCCAATAAAAACAATAAATTTGTGCACACAAATTTACGGTGCAATAATTCAA